ATCTTAATGCTCTAATTAGCCAGACTCTTTTAAGAAAAACTGGGATGATTTTACTAGATTCTAATACCTAATTCTCTGAAGGGCTTTGATGTCTAAGAACCCAAATAAATACCTATTATAATGAGGCACATTAACTATCTCCTATGTCATTAACAAGCTTGTAGAGTTGAGAGAACTGAAACATTACCAGGTTTGAGTTACTTTATCTTTAAATTGGCCATCTAACAATATCTTAAAGCACAGAATAATCTGAAAGCTGATCTCAGACACACTACCAACTGTGCAAAAAGTAACATGCTTTGAGATGTCATAAAGAGCACTGAAAATAATATTAAGGAGATTTCAGTAGATTACAAATTGGAAAATTAGTGAAACAGTAATTGTGCATGTTATACCTTCCCATCCAAAGACTAGCCTGACAAGATGTCACCGATGCTGAGTTTTCATCAGGGTTTTCAGAGGTGGAGCTCTGTGCCAAAACACCTGCTGCTTGACTTGTGATGTCTTTATAAAGCTGGATGAACTGGTACAAGTTCATGATCCGTGATGCTTCCACAATTCCACTGCTTTTGTTTATCTAAAAGTAAAAAGAAAAAATTTTTAAATTGGATCATTTTTTTCTGCTCAATTTTTCAAGAAAAACAGATATACATAGTCAAACACCCTAGGAAATAGACATTTTCAAGGCCTGCAAATTATTTAACAAGAAAGCAAGAGTCTGCAAAATAATACTGTCTCTTACATTTGTAAGGGCAATAGCCAGAACAGGTAAGGAGGGTGGGGGACAGCCCCCAAGGCGGCAGGGAGCAGCGGCAGACAGGGCTGGTGGTGGAACACGTAAGGAGGGTAGGGGACAGCCCCAGGCGGCAGGGAGCAGCGGCAGACAGGGTGCACAGAACAGGTACGGTGAAGCCCAGGAAATGAGTGGAGCAGTTGGAACAGCTAAGGGAGACAAACTTGTCTGCTGGTTTGTCGAACTGTGGTGGCTTGCATGTTTCTGTGAGGCTGGAGGCTATGCCAGCAGGGATGCCCATGGTGGATCAGTTTTGGTGGAGCTTCCAGACTGAGACAGACTTGGAAGAAGAAAAAGAACCGGCCAGTGAAAACCTTATGAATAGTAGTGAAACACTGTCTGATACATTACTGGGAAATTTTATGAATAGCCCTGAAACATTATCTGATACAGTGGTGGAAGATGAGCCCCTCAGATCGGAAGGCACTCAAAATATGACTGGGAAAGAGCTGCTTCATCAGAGTAGAGCCTACCTTAATGATATGGATAAAGTAGAGCTTTCGGGAACTCTATTTGCTGAAGTGGCACGACTCAGTATGAGAGGAAACAGCTGCAAATATCCACTGATAATTGGAACATGGAATAAATGAAGTACAAATCTAGGAAAACTGGAAGTTGTCAAAAATGAAATGGAACGCATAAAGATTGATATCCTAGGCATTAGTGAACTGAGATGGACTAGTTTTGGCCATTTTGAATCAGATAACCATATGACCTACTATGCTGGAAATGACAAATTGAAGAGGAATGGCATGGAATTCAAAGAATGTTTCAAGATCTATCCTGAAGTACAATGCTGTCATTGATAGAATAATATCCATATACCTACAAGGAAAGCCAGTTAATATTATTATTATTGAAACTTATATACCAACCACCAAAGCCAAAGATGAGGAAAGATTTTTACCAACTTCTGCAGTCTGAAATTGACCAAACATGCAATCAAAGATGTGCTGTTTATCACTGGTGACGGGAATGCAAAAGTTGGAAACAAAGAAGAATCACCAGTAGTTGGAAAATTTGGCCTTGGAGACACAAATAATGTTAAGAGACTGCATGACAGAATTTTGCAAGACCAATGACTTATTCATTGCAAAAACCTTTCTGCAACAACACGGTGGCTATACATGTGGACTTTGCCAGATGGAGAACACAGGAATCAGATTGACTATATCTGTGGCAAGAGACAATGGAGAGCTTAGTATCTTCAGCCAAAACAAGGCCAGGAGCTGACTGTGGAACAGACCATCAACTGCTCATTTACAAGTTCAAGCTGAAGTTGAAGACAATTAAAACAAGTCCACAAGAGCCAAAATATGACCTTGATTATATCCCTCCTGAATTTAGAGACCATTAAAAGAACAGATTTGATGCAGTGAACACCAATGACTGAAAACCAGAGGAATTGTGGGATGACATGAAGAACATCATCCATGAAAAAAGCAAAAGGTCATTAAAAAGATAGGAAAGAAGAAAAGACCAAAATGGGTGTCAGACTCTGAAACTTGCCCTTGAACAGAGGAGGTAAAGCAAATGAAGAAATGACAAGATAAAAGAGCTAAACAGAAGATTTCAAAGAGCAGCTCAAGAAGCATTCATTATAATGAAATGTGCTAAGTTATGGAGTTGGAAAGCCAAAAGGGAAGAACACACTCGGCATTTCTCAAGTTGAAAGAACTGATGAGGAAATTTAAGCCTCGAGTTGCAATACTGAAAGATTCTATAGGCAATATATTGAATGATGTAGGAAACATCAAAAGAAGATGGAAGGAATACACAGAGTCACTGTACCAAAAAGAACTGGTTGAAGTTCATCCATTTCAAGTGGCATATGATCAAGAACTACACTGAGGGAAGTGGCAAAAAACAAGGCTCCAGGAATTGATGGGATATCCATTGAGATGTTTCAACAAATGGATGCTGCACTAGAGGCGCTCACTAGGCTATGATAGGAGATTTGGAAAACAATTACCTGGCCAACTGACTGGAAAAGTTCCATATTTGTACCCATTTCAAAGAAAGGTGATCCCACAGAATGTGGAAGTTATCAAACAATATCATTAATATCGCATGCAAGTAAAATCTTACTGAAGATAATTCAAAAACAGTTGCAGCAGTATACTGACAGCGAACTTCCAGAAATGCAAGCTGGATTCAGAAGAGGATGTGGAATGAGGAACATCACTGCTGATGTCAGATGGATCTTAGCCTAAAGCAAAGAATACCAGAAAGAGGTTTATTTGTGTTTTATTGACCATGCAAAAGCATTCGATTGTGTGGATCATAACGAATTACGGATAACACTGAGAAGAATGGGGATTCCAGAATACTTAATTGTGCTCATGAGGAACTTGTACATAGACCAGGAGGCTGTTGTTCGAACAGAACAAGGGGACACTGCATGGTTTAAATTCAGGAAGGGAGTGCGTCAGGGTTGTATACTTTCACTATACTTATTCAATCTGTATGCTGAACAAATAATCCGAGAAGCTGGGCTATATGATGAACAATGTGGCATCAGGATTGGAGGAAGACTCATTAACAACATACGTTATGCAGATGACACAACTTTGCTCACTGAAAGTGAGGATGACTTGAAACATTTACTGATAAAGATTGAAGACTACAGCCTGCAGTATGGATTACACCTCAATATAAAGAAAACAAAAATCTTCACAAAGGGACCAATAAGCAGCATCATGATAAATGGAAAAAAGATTGAAGTTGTCAAAGACTTTATATTACTTGGTTCTACAATCAACACGAATGGAAGCAGCAGTCAAGATATCAGACGACATACTACATTGGGCAAATGTGCTGCAAAAGACCTCTTTCAAGTGCTGAAGAGCAAAGATGTTTACTTGAAGACTAGGGTGCGCTGACACAAGCCACAGTATTTTCAATCACCTGATATGCATGTGAGAGCTGGACAGTGAAAAAGGAACACCAAAGAAGAGTCGATGGTTTTGAGTTGTGGTGTTGGCGAAGATCGCTGAAAGTACCATAGACTGCTAAAAGAACTAATAAATCTGTCCTGGAGGAAGTGCACTGGAATGCTTCTTGGAAGCGAGAATGGCCAAACTTCGTCTCACCTACTTTGGTCATGTTGTAAGAAGGGACCATTCCTTGGAGAAGGATTGACACAGTGGCTGCAATGATGGGCTCATGCATACCAAGGATCGTAGGGCTGGCACAGGACCAGGTAGTGTTTTGTTCTGTTGTACATGAAGTCGTTGTGAGTCAGAGATGACTCGACGGCACCTAACAACAACAACAACTTACATTTATAGGGATCAAAGTACTTACACAATAGCAAAAAGATGGGAACAACTGACATGCCCATCAGCGGAAGAGTCGATGACCAAACTATGGTACACACACACAATGGAATGCTATGCAGCACTAAAGAATAATGTAGAGTCTGCAAAATACTGCGTAATATAGATGAACTTGGAGGACATTATACTGAGTGAAAGAAGTCAATCACAGAAGGACAAATATAGTATTAGTTTTTTGTTGTGGAGGATCAAGGAAAGGTTTATATATGGAGGAAAACTTTCTTTGTTGGTTGCCAGGGGTGGGAGGGGAAAGGAGGGAACACTAAAAAAAAAAGTATTGACCCATGTTACTTTAGTTTTGTATATTTCACTGTACATAAATTATATTTCAATAAAATGCATTAAAAAATACTTACACAAATTTATCTCATTTGATATTTAAAATATCAAGTAGATAGACTGGTCATTATTCTGTTTACTGTAGATGAGGTTAGGCAACTTTTCCAGAGTTAAGAAATTAATTTTAGAGATCAGTACTGAAAATTCTTTTCATTTTAAAAGTTAATTTTATTTGAATCCAACAATCACCTGCCATTCTACTATAACTGAAATAGGTAGGATTGCTTTATTGAATATCTTAAGTTTTATTTTATACCAGAACTTCAAGCTAACGCAAGAAAATTACACTAAAGTAAGCCTAACAAAGAGCAATTGGATTTTTCTTTGATGGCCATTCTGAGTTTTTGCCAAAAAAACAAAAACAAAAACAAAAAACACAAATGATTTAACTCTCCCTTTTTTGCTGATGACATGATATGTATAGAAAACCTCAAAGAATCCACAAAGAAGCTACTAATAGACAAATTCAACAAATCAGCAAGATAAAAGGTCAACATGGAGCCATCAGTCAGGCTTTTATACATCAGTAAAAAGCATTCGGGAAAGGAAATGAAAAAAAAAATTCCATCTATGGTAACACCTAAAAGAAAAAAATATCTACAATTAAATTTAATTAAAGAAGTAAAAGACTTGTTCATGGCAAACCATAAATCATTACTGAAAGAAATTAAATACCAAAATAAATGGCAAGATATTCCATGTTCACAAATGGGAAGATTAATATTGTTAACATTAATATTGTCAATATAACATTAATATTCAATATTAAAAAATATTAATATCATTAAAATACTAACATTAAGATTAATATTGTTCATATTAATTACTACTGTTAAAATTAATATTAAGATATTATCTAAAGCAATCTATAGATTCAATGCAATCTGCATCAAAATTCTAAGGTTTTTTTTTTTTCAGATATGGAAAAGCCAATCCTCACATTTATATGGAACTGCAAGGGGCCCTGAATAGCCAAAGCAATCTTAGAAAAGAATAAAGCAGAACTCACATTTCTCAATCCTAAAATAACCCACACTGTAACACATATATAGTATAACACATACTATAAAGCTACAGTAATCAAAACAGCCTAGGACTGTTAAAATG